CTGGCTCTCTGATAGTTAAGGAACAGCTTATGTCCTCAAGCTGAGTTTTAATATTCCTTCTAAAATTTTGCTGTCATTAATGCTACTCTAGATCTTCTTGATAGCCATGTAAATGTCTAATCTCGTTTTGGCCTCTTGCTAAATCCATGGTCTTGGGGTTCTCGATGGCACACTCAGCACTCACCTCTAGCCCTAATATACCCAGAGACACCTGGCTTTAAATCTGATGGTGCTGACCCCTGAACCCGATCTTACATGCTGTGTTTCACTGATGTCCATGCTGTTACTCCTCATTTGCACAGGTGGGATCAGACTCTGGGGATCTATGAACAGAGTATTTTAGGTTTCCGTTTCAGAGGGTTCGGAAATGAATTCTGGTTTTCTACTCTATCCCAGGCCTGCACTACAGGCGCTAAGGCAACTCAGGCATTTGGCATTTGCAGCCAAAGACACAAAAACTATCCCACAGTCAAGTTGTATAAACTCTTGGCTTTGGGGAGACTGCTGCTGTTTCTCATTGCCTGTTTCCATTGCCTTGTGTTTGGTATATGGAAAAAGGACCTGGGGACCTAGAGTGATGTAAGAGATCTATGCTTACTGCCTAACACAGAGCAAATAAGCTTTCCTTTCTTGCACCCTTTGTCCTATGCTGTCAGTCCTTGACATAGATGGTCTACAGAGAAGCAAAGTCTAGCTCAGGAAAGCCAAGTGTAAAGGTGGGGGGTAAGGCTTTCTCTTCAGGATGATGCTTTCATAATTGCTGTAGGTGGCAGCTAGGAGTTTCTCTCTTCCCTTTGCTGCCGCTCTGAGAAGCATTTCTGTTTCATTCAGACTGCTGGGCTGCTGAAGCATCACACATGACATCCCGATTCACTGTACAGGTTTCCTCTCCTACCTCTCAGTGATGGGCACTGGGTTGATGGCAAAATGGAACAGGGAAGGCGATTGCTCTGTTTGACAGCCCCAGGCTCAGTGGCTGCAGAATAATGTGGATCAGCATTGGAGACTTGGGGAATGCAGGGAAGAGGAAGATTAGCTTGTCTTCCCTCCACAGCACATGGAAACCCTTATTCCCCTCAAAATGGGCATTGCAAATGTACTGCAGAGGTCATCAGCTGGATTTAGATTCGTGTCATTCTCCGCAGCACAGATTTCTATGTGAGCTACAGGAATAAGTACACTGTTTGTTTGGCAGGAGTAAGCTCTTATCCTCTCATGGACATCCTGTAGAAGGAGGTACAACACTTTACCAGTCTGGTATACCTATATTGTGTCTGACAATGAAGTAACAGTTCTGGATCCAAAAAGCACAAGGTCTGTAGCACTGCAATACCTGCAGGCTGAGGTTGTGGTATGAGAGATCTCCAGCTGCTACAAAGCATGAAGTTGTGCTTTGGAGCCTGTGTTCGATCCCTGACAGCACGCACATGCCCCTAGACAAAGCCTAACCAAAAACATTTAACTTATTGCAGTGTCCTGTTTCCATGAGAGACCCTTGCCCACCTTAGCAAAGCTTGAGGGTCACCAGGGGACTTGGAATTTCTTTTCCACCAGGATTTCCAATCTTTCACTCCTCCCACCCCCACTCCAGCCCTCCACATCAGGATTTAAAATAAAACACGTTTTGCCATTGATCTGACCCAGGAAACAAGATTTCTAAAGAGAAGAAATGTGGCAGTTGTGATTTGGACTTTAGTAACAAATACAGAAATACACTTGAAGAGTCATTGCAAAACAGATATTTCAAACCCTCCACGTGGATTTGCTTCAGATGAGCTTCTTCCAAACAGACACGCTCAATCAAGCCAAAACTGAGCAGCACAACAGCTTTCCATCAGAGGCTTTTGACCAGCTCTAGTGCTCAGCATGGAGTGGAGCAGCACCAGCATGCTGGCTGCAGCGTGGGGCTGGAGGTGCTGATCAGGATGGAAATGCATCAGCAGAGCTGGCTATGGGAAGATCTTTGCCACACTCAAACAGTCAAAGATCATGAGCCAGAGGTGCTGGACAGTCATGGGATTTTTAAAGGAAACAATTCATTGGGATTTTGTCTGTCTGCTGTATTTGCGGGTCCAGAGCCCTTCTGGTAGCATTTTGTACTTTTTCATCAGAGCTACAAAGGTCAAAAGCGTGACAATTTTTAATGCTTGCTGAGATTTCTGTGCAGTCACATTGACTCCAGGAGCTGGGGCTTTTCAGTAGAGCAGTAATTATCATAAGACTCACAATGAAATTGTAAGACCTGGTGACACAGGGATCAGGACTCGAGCACTGCGTGTGGCGGGGAGGGGGAGAGGGGAAGGAGCGAGCAGGGCTAGGAGCTCACTAAAGACTTGTCTCGGTAGTCCAACCTGTCAGCCGTAGCAGCAGTACTCTAATTAGAGCGGTGAGGGGGGTAAAAGTCCTAAGCCCCAACTTAGAGGGGACACAAGACTGGCAGCTGCTGGTAGGTTGGCCACTTACCCGTGGCAGTCCTGGGCTCAAAATTTCCTTTCTAGTCAAACTTCTGCACATCAGATCCTGCTTTCACACCCTATTGCACTCTCAGTTTCAAGCACTGGACTGGAAGCAGATGAGCTCTCGTGTTTGACCTCTGTAGCATTTCCTCTTTGATCGCATGCAGGTGCCACACTGAAAGCACTGGATATCCTGACTGAATTTCCTCTCGGAGCCGTATGTTCTTTGAATGCCATTTGTTTGAGTGATGATATTACTGCTCAGTTAAAAAGGAGCAGGTTAGTTATGGCCCAAGGAACAGACACTGGGAAGACCCAAAGGAGAGGCCAGGGGAGCATTTTAGAGACAGCAGGCACTCATTTTTTTACCTGCTGTCTTGAAGACAGAACACCCCACTTCACCCTATGGTGGACTCCTCCAGGAAGCTCTCCAAGCCTTTGATGGGGTAGTGCCATTAACCCTGTATTAATACTGGGGAAACTGAGGCATGGAGCAGGAACACAACGGACCCTAAACCACAAAGGAGATCAATGGCAAAACCAGTAACAGAACCCAGAAGTCCTGTCTTTATACTCCCTCACAATTCATATCCTCTGGAGCAGTGGGAGTCAGCCTTTTCAGCAGGGGTGCCACAAATGATGCCCCATGCCCTCCTCTGTTCCCCTTCTACCCAACTGGCAGTTCTGCTTTCTGCTCCCTGGCTGATTTGCTACTCTGCTTTCTGCACCCTGCTCTATCTACCCGCCCTCCCCTGATCTGCCGCATGCCACATGCAGGGGTTGCCCATGCCACTTACGGCATGCATGCTGCAGCTGCAGGTTTTTCTTTTGAGGATGCAGACCTGAAAAGAAGATCTTTTCTTTTGATTTGCTACTGGTTGATCCCATCTAAGACTGGCTGGAGGCTTTCTCAGTTTCAGCTCTGGTGTAGATAAGAACAGGCAGGGATTAAACCCAGCTAGCTCTGCAAGCACAGCGCTGCCTCATTCTTTCCTATGCTGAGGCCAGCATGGTCAGGAGTGCTCAGCAACTGTTCAAATGTCCATAATGGGAAAGTGATACCAGAATAATGTCCTTTAACACGCTGCAGTTATCGATATTTCCAGACCAAGTCCTGTTTGGCTGCTCCGACTCCAGTCAATTTCCCAATACAGAGATTCCCTCAGGGTCAGAGTTTTTACAATTGATCTGCCCCAGCGTGCTTCCTAAATGGATGCTGAGCGCTTTTGAAAGCCTGGCCCCAAGGCACGTCCGCACGCGGAAACTAACTGCTGAGGCCTTGTAGATCTGGCCCAGGAGCCAGCACCCGTTACTGGCCATTGATTGTTATTCCAGAGTGGAGAACAGGGTCTAATTGTTGGTAAAGTACTTTGAAGCTGGAGGGCGATTGTTACATTGGCACAAAGAGCCCGTTCATGCAAACCTCTGGCATTGAGAACACGGAGGAGGGAAATTACAGGAAATCTGACCTACTGGAGCTACCTGCAAGCCGGCTGCTTTTCAGCTTTCCACCAAATGCTGTTTCAAGCTCTCCAGGGCTGAGACTGGAAGGTACAAGCAGCTGATTCATGCACAGGGTTGTCTGAGTAGACAGACCTTTACTCAGAGGAAGAACCTGTCACAAGAATGCCCTGAGAATTGCAATCTGCAGATTTATCAGGAGGGGGCGACGTCCACTCATGTTTCCAACACACAAAGAGCCCACCCAAAAAATTAACTCTGGCTGAAGGGATGAAAGAAGAAACAGGAAAGCTGAGCTTCTGGGGAGAGCACAGTGGGTTCTGCAACAGGCTGCAGCAGCTCTGAAAACAGCATGGCTCCTGGACTCCGCAGGAAGTGTAAAGGTAGTACATTTTCATAGCAAGATAGGCTGATGGAAATATTCCCCTTGACATCTCTAGGTTTGGGAGAAGACACACCGCACTAACAGTATTTTTCTTTACCTGGCCAGCAGTACACTCAGCTACTTTGCAGTCAGGAGACCTGATCTTCATAAGTACTTTGGGGCTAAACAGACTCATGCTTGGATCAGAGAGATTCCCTGGGGGGAATATGTCTCAGCAGTGCCCGTGGCAAGGTCTTTCTGTGCCCACTTTCTGTGCTCATTAGCTGGCTCCTTCACCCTCTGAGCTGATCACACCACTGAAAGATCGTTATCCACTCAGAGGTTTGCAAAGTGGAGAAAAAAAAAGTCATTTCCACAGCCCAGGGGAAAAGAGCAACGCAGCTTATTAAGGCTCCATCTCTAAAAACTTCATTAATGCTTATTGCATAATGAGACACTTCACTTTACAGCAAGCTTCCTAATCACTGGAAATTGTGTGTTAAGCTAGCCTCAGCCACAGTGTCCATGGCACCCTCCCAGCACTGTATCACAAGCTGGCAAATCTTGTCAGTCACCTGTGTTAAACACACCTTCCTCTCAGTGTCAGAGGATCTAGGAAAAGCCTCAGTTGGTCTAGGCTACTTCAGATTACTCTGTAAGAGGAAATCAAGGCCACCTGGACCAGCCATTCCCCTATGCTATGGAAAAGGTGTTTCATACACTGCAGCTGCCTGGGTGCAAGTGATACACAGCACAGGACAGGGAGCAGAAGGGGCCTTGTTCTCCAGGGTATCCCCTAGAAAACTCCCCGCACTGAGAACAGTGACCCAAGCTGAACCCTGAGGTGTATGACTTTGTTGGGCTGGGTTGTGTGTGTGGTTCCCATCTCCTTCAGTGTAGCTGGTGGAGCTACAAGATGTCCCACAGGTGAGTCCTTGGTTAATCACTAGGTGTGCTGCAACAGGGGAGCCGGGAAGGGTTGCATCTCTCCCAGGCATGTTTGTGCCGCCAGAGGTAGTAACCGCAGGGCTATCGTGGGCAGCATGCAGCAGGGAGGGGACCCAGGCATCCTGCATTTTAATTCCATTGCTGCTGCTGCTTGTAGAAGGGCCTTGGGTAGTAAATCAGCCTCTCAATGGGGTGGCAAGGCTTGATCCTGTGATGTTTGATGTTTGCTGGGTGCCTTGAGATGTGAGATACCTCAATGCTTAATTGTTCTGCAAAGCAAACTGGAGTTCTTTCACTGCAGTCAGGGCAAACCCCTGGGGTCCTTCTTCAGAGAGAAAGATTTGATCCTCTTCTTTCCATCAGGGCTTGGTTGGGGTCTACACATCCCTTATAGTGCTTCCCTGGGCTGGGATATGGACCAAAATCTTGGATCCCATCAGCCCGTAGCTGCTGGGACCTTGGTGTGGGCCAAACCTGTGCAATAGCTGTACTCTGAGCACCTGCTGAATAAATGGAGCCTTTCCCTTCCCTGCTGCTGTCAAAGGCTTTGAGGATGTAGAAGTAAATAGCAGCTCCCTTCTAGCTGGACTGCCTGAGCCGACCATTGCATAGCAAGGAGCAGATCAGCAGCTGTTGGGGCTCTGGAAACTAACTGATGTTGGGGGCTGCTCTCTGCGATATAGCCAGCCCGTGACAGTACTGCTGAAATGCTTTGTTCTTGCAAGTGGATGTTTAAGACAGTCCGTTCAGGAAAGCTCAGGAACCAGGCCTATGTTGCAGGGAGGAGACAGCTTCCCCCACTGCTGGAGTCCAGGTAGCAGATGGTGCACTGCTACTGTTTAAAGCAGTTGCCTTTCAGGCCAGGTTTGAGCTGAAAAGAATCAGCTCTTTTTCCCCCTTCTTCTGTAGCAAAGGCCCTTTGAAGTACAACAGAGGCTGCCGCTGTGAAGACAGCAAGCTGAGATGGAGGAGGTAGAGAGAAGCATTAGCACTGCCCTAGCAGTGTGTTCTGGAGGCAAGTAGCCCAATGCCAGATGGAGAGCAAGGATATGCAGGGCACAGGGAGAACAGCCTGGAGCTTGGTGCTACTCCATCCACCTACCGGGGGAGCTGGTAGGCTCCAAAGGGAGGTCTCTTCTGGGGGGTTATCTGCCCCCTGGGGCTCTTCCTAGCCCAGTGGTTAGAGCAGGAGACCAGAGTCAGGACTCTCTGGTTCTAGTCTTGGAGGTATTCCTTGAACCCTGGTCTAGTTATGTGCAGTGAAGCTTCCCTGCCTTCCCAGAGCCTTCAGAAGCCTCTGGGTTATCAGCTCCATGGTCACAAGAGGGTGAAGAAAGCATCTGGAGTCACATCCAGCTGAGTGCACACAGGCAGTTTGTAGCACCACAGATGGGTCTGCAGCACCATAAACCATGTGCGTCACACATGCAGGTGTTTGTCGCACTGCTAATTTGCAGTGCGGTGGATTTTTTGATGCTAGGAGATCCTGGCGTCAAATAAGCCTGCACCAGAAAAAAGTGGGGCAGAGCACACGGCAGCAGCATGTGCCATCCAAAACCAGAGCCTGGCTGGTCAAAACTACACTCTGCGGACCTGGATTGGCACTGCTGGAGCCCTGGAAGGCCTCCAAAACCCCAGGTAAGGCTTCTGGAGCCAGCCGCCCCTACCCCACCCAGGGCAACTTGCCGCACACCAGAGTACACATGCGGGGGCATTCCCCAGGGACAACTAGCAACAGCACAAATATGTGCCACTGCTGTTTTGTTCCCAGGGAACATGGGGGTGTGCCCTTGGTGTCTTTTTGCCACTTACTTTCTAACCTTCTGAGTTGCCTGCAGATTGCATTTACTGCTTCTTCCCACAGGAACACAGGACTAGAAGGGCCTCCCAAGCCACTGAGTCTCTTCTTTTGCAGGCAACTATTTATCTAAGGAGTCCCAAAAACCACCCGCTCCAATGCCTTACACATGACAACCACATGGCACCTTGTGAAAAGGAAACCACATGTGCCTGCTGCCTGCCACAAGGGAGACCAGGGCACCACCCATGCTCTGCCTTGTCAGTGGGAGGGAGGTTAGGAGTCTGGTACATGCTCCAAGCAAGAGGACCACACCTCATGTGACGGGAAAGGAAAAACCACTGCAGTCCTTGCCAGTCTCCTCTGGGGCGAAAATTTCTACCTCTTCTCAAATGTGGCAATTAGCTTGGCCCTGAGCTTAAGAGCAAGGCCCTCCAGCTGGCCTCCTGGGAACCAGACCTTCTACTGAGAATAGAAAATGGAGGGTCTCATGCATTCACTTGATGCCAGACCTGGGGCTTTAAAGAAGACATGCAGGCTAACGCAAAGCAAGTAATGAAACGGCAAAGGGTGGTGCTATTGGCTCCTGCGGGTGCAAGGTGCTTGTCACAGCATAGGAAGGAAGATCACAGGGACAGATCTTGCCAAGACCAGGATGATTTACATCTATGAAACACAAACCAGGTACCTCCAGCCCACTCCTGCTTACTGACACCACCCCAAACCACAGCTGTTCCCAATGAACGCTTGCCAGACAATCCTGGGTCTTCACTGCACACTTCCTTACAACAAGGGACAGAAGATCCTTCATTATATAGGACTCCAGGCTCCAGTTCCCTCCTGTTGAGCATGCTTTGCAAACAAGGAAGTTGGAAAGCAAGCTGTTCTTTCCCCCACTTTTTCAAGAAAGCAAGACTGAGGTACTGTGCCCAGCTCTCCAATGCTATTGGACAAACATTGGCTGGGGCGGTTTGGCCAGTGATGATCCTGCCTTGTGAGGTCCCTTCTAGTCCTACTTTCCTATAATCCTATGATTGCACTTTGGGAAGGAGGAATAGGGGGCCGGCAAAGCTGGGGAGGGCTGTGCGCTGGGTTCTTCTTGCCTGATTTGGTACTGCTGGCAAGACTGAGGAGCCTTGGCTTGTCCTTGGGGCTCTGGTCAACTAACAAAAAATGAAACTAGTCTGTTGTTATGGCCATGCCTTTCTGTTCCCCACTGCCAACCTGCCTTGTCACAAGCTACAGATGGATGCCATCTTTGTGGTGGGATCAGCTGTGCCAAGATGTGTCACAGCACAGCTGATCCTACAGGTGAGCAGAGACATACAGTGCCTGGGGTAGCCTGCCCGCACTCTCCTAACATAAGTGAAAGGATGTCCACACAACAGAGCTGCACAAATTATTAGTAGGAATAGTCATTCTCACAATTATGGCCATTTGTGGTGTGACAGGGCAGCGGTGTCTGTTTGCTCAGGCTTTATGCTGCCATCAAATATTTTTATGATTTTTTTTTTTTTTTAATCTATTTGCAGCCATAGGGACCTGTGGGACTTTCACCTGGGCATTGGGAGCCTGGGTCAGCCCTGTCCTGTATGGCTACTGTCATTTCTCACCTTGCTTCTTCCAGGCACTGTTCCCCAGTGCTCCCTGCTGGGCAGTGTTTTTAGTACCCTTGGCTTTTTGCATCCCACCCCAAGCACCATTGTTTTGTCCAAGTCTGGTAGAGCAGTAATGTGCTTATTCTCTAGGCTCAAGAAACCTCACATCTCAGTGCCTCCAGCTGTGCTTCTCCTAGAACAGGGGTGGGCAAAATACAGGCCACAGACCGGTTCCAACTCACAGAGGGACTTTGTCTGGCCCGCAGCGGGTCCCTCGGTCCCGCCCGGCCCAGATGCCGTCCAGCCTCTAGCACGTCCCGCTACCTCCGGGTGCACAGCAGGGCTGGGGTGGTTCCATGGCTGGACTTCATTTCTAGGCAGCCTAGGCAGTGGCGGCTCCTTCTGGATGCTGCCGCTGCTGACTCTGGCACCATGGAGACTAACGAGGACCTGCACACCCAGACCCAGCCCACCCTGTGCCCACTCTGGACCAGCTGGGACCCACGTGCATAGCCCCAACCCTGCCCCGCTCTGTGCCTGCTTTGGACCCACCCACCCATGGTGAGTAGTGGCAGCTGGGCTGAAGCTGCTGCTGGGCACAGGGGAAAAGTGGCTGCCTTCTCCTCACCACTGCTGGGCCCTTCTTGCTGTGCCCACCCAGATCCCATGCCCAGGCTGCCCCGTGGCTCCTCTGCACTGCTATCATGACCACCCTCAGTGTCTCCTCCAGGCCACCCAGTGGGGCAGCGGTGGCATTGGAAAGGAGCAGCAGGGCAGCCTGGGCACTGGTGGCAGTGGCAGGGAGAACATCTAGGAGCCCAGCTATGGGCCTAGGAGCCAAATGTTGAGTGCCAAGATAACAGATTCATACCAGACCCAGAAGGGACCCTCATGATCGGACACACTGACATCCTGCACAGCGCAGGCCAGAGTGTCACTTCTGGCTGATGCAGAGCAGCAGCCTGATTTCAGAGGAGAGCCCCATGAACCCAGGTGAGTTGTTTGAGCTTCACTGGGGAAATGGGTCCCTTGTTCCTGATCTGTGCTTGTCTGTGCTCTGCTAGCTTCCATACAAGACCCCTCAGGTATCGCGCTCTCACTGTTTCCGCCTGCTCTGTTCACCTCCTGACCTCCCCCCGGATAGCTCATTTAACATCGTTTTGCATTCAAATACATTTTTTATGGTAATCCAAGTGTATTTTAGGCTCATCGCACAAAGGGTGTGAAATCCATTAGAAGGCATTAGATGTGTAAAAGAAACAGCTCATTTATATCCCTTGCCTTATGTTACCAACTTAGTGCATGTTATCGCCTCTCTCCTGGACCCACACGAAGTGAATCAGTTCCTTCTGTTTGAATCAGGAGAATTTTACCCAGCTGCCTGACTTGGCTCTGCACCCCACCTCTGTGGTCTCAGGCCTTCAGGAGGAGGAATTAGCTCGTTGTTGCAGGTCTCCTGCTGTGCAGTCATTAGCTCCATTTCAGAGCTAGAGAAACAGAGGCACAGAGAGCTGCAGTGGTACCTCTGGGCTTTTGGTTAAGACACTTAGATGGGATGTAGGCAACCTGGGGTCAGTTCCCAGCTGTGGCACAGATTCCTGGGTAACCTTGAAGTCATGCAATTGCTGTGTGCCTCAGGTTCCCTATCTACCAACAGGTAATACTTCTTGCTTGTCTCCTGGAGACAGGGGCACTCTGCAGCATCCACATGATGTGAGCAGAGCATGGACTTCGCATCACTCGAGGAAATTTTAATCCAAATATACTTAGAGAGAGGACATCCCTGAGGGACATTTGAAGGTAAAGACACCAGGGACAAGGACAATTGCTGCAGTTCATTTGCTCCAGTTCATTTTCTAACACTAGCAGGGTATATAGCCTATTCTGGGTTTGCATCTGCCTCTCCACTGACAGTCCCAGATTTTCCTGTGCATCCGTTAGCACGTGTCTGGACACTCCCGAAACTGTGATTTGCAGCTGGAGATGGACATTGGGCTGTGCAAAGGAATGAGCTGTGCAAAGGACTGACATGCAGCAAAGCACCGGACATGGCCCAGGATGAGCTCTGAGACTCTCCATTCAAGCCCTGGCCCCTTGATGGCTGCTTCTGATAATTTGTTTCCTTTTTACATTTTTACAATAAAAAAATCACTAGGAACAGGATGAGGCAGGAAGGTGTGTGAGCAAGCACCTCCAGCCTGAGTGGGGGGTGGGTGCGGGGCTGGGGGTTGAGGGACTCCTGAAGGTGCTGCTGCTTCTCCCAGCTACCAGCACAAGGCAGGTCTAAGAGGGGGCATGTTGGTGTGCACCTCATTACGGGGAGCATACGTGTCCCTGGTCATGCTATTCTCTATGCTCTTCCTACAGTAGATATGGGTTCTCCTTGCTGTCCAGTGCAGAAAGCTGTGCCGGGTGCTCGAGGGAACCTCAGAGAGGAAAAAAAAATGGCCTGAGCTTCCCCCTAGCACTGCTTGTATTGTGTTGTATAATATCAGGTAACTTGCATTCATTTTTCTATCCTTTTTTCACACTGGACATTTGGGTTTTGCTCATGTCGAATTTCCTAAAAAACTCTTTGGGGCCTGGAAAGCTGACAGAAGATCCTGCTGTCACAAGCACAACTGACTCAACTCCTGGACTTCAGAGAGAGAAGCCCATTTCTTTAGACCGAGTGAGACTCTTTATGGGTTTTGTTAAAGCTCATCACACCCAAATGTCCTGCCTGCGCTTGGGAGAAATAAAGTTTGGCACAGACTTAGCCTGTAGGAAGGAAGGCACAGTAGGCACAGTCATAAAGTTTTTAGCCTGGCCAGGACAGAAACCCCATTTTTTGTTGAACTGTGTATTATTCAGCACCGTTCTCCTTGACATCAGTGCCCTTGGCTCAGCCTAGCTGAAGCATGGCTCTGCCTTTCTTGAGGACGTCCTTTTCCTGCATGTCCAGACACTCCTCAGCTCTGATCACCTCACTATCATCCTTGCAAGCCTCCTCAGGGCAGATCTATTTTCAGCTCTGGTGAAGAGGCGGGATGGGGAACCACTTCAAAGCCACATTTGGTCACCAGGGATGTGCCTGGGATGTGTGGGGAGAAGCAGCACTCCTCGGTTCAGCGATCTATGGTGCTCACTCCTGATGGCTTCTCTGGAGCGCAGCCGTTCACTAGCGCGGTGCTCACCCAGTGATGTACTAGTGCGGTGCTCACCCAGTGACAGTCTCACCTGTTGAGAGGTAGCCAGTCGTGAGCAACCCTTTGCTATCCCAAAACATTGCGACCACAACCTTACTGACTCCATTAATTGCTCGGGAGGTGGAGGCTGTGTGTTTCCGCCGGTCGCTGTGCTGTTTGGTGCCAGGTTCAGAGTTGGGCTCGTGTCTCAGCCTGAATCACAATCTTGCATGTGATTTTTTTTTTTCTGGGTTTGCCTCAAAATATGGCAGATGCTCCTTGGAAAGGTCACTCTACTGGTCAGCGCTCCGTGTCCTGGGCCCCCATCTCACTAACACCTTTCTCTTGCCCAAATCTTAAAGGACAGCACCAACACTGATCCCCACTGTCTCAGCTCTCTGCCTGACTGCTTGCTGATCTCCTGTGATTTGTCCCCATCCTGTGGAGTGAATCAACTTGCTCTGATGTGGTGGCTTTTCTGGGAGTCCTCATCCTCACTGCTGATTCTGCCTCACTTCAGTTCAGCTGTCTGGGTTTTCACGTGTGACATATGGAGTGTCATTGTCCCCCAGCAAGGCCCCCATGCCCTCCTGGATTTCCTTTGGGGCCAGCCCTTTCTTCTGGGGCCACCGGATCACCACTCCGAGTTCAGTCTTGACATTTTTGGCCAGCAACTCACTTCAACATATCCTTGTACAAGTTCTGCCCAGACAAAAGAAAATGGCTGCTAACAAAGAAACGTCCGTATTTTGCCTGGGGAAGTGGGACTGGCTATAGTGTCGGGCAGACACTTGCTGAACACCCCTCAGCCATTTTTCTGAGTCCTTCCACGGAGACCCCCAGCAAAATAAACCTTGCTATTCCTAATGCCGCGAGCAAATGCACACACACATGTGGCAGCACCGTCCTTTCATTGCCAGACTGCCTGGAAGGCTCATGGGTGCGGTCCCAGCAGCCCAGCACCCCGCTAGTGAACACTTTTCTTTACATTAATTTTTTTGCAAAAATGTTGGTCTAATAAAAGATATGAGTCCTGATTTATTTTTCCCTCTGCGCTCTGCTCCTCTCACAACTCCTGTTCTTTCTAATCCTTCCTCCGCCAGACGCTGACACCAGCCCCACCAAGCAGCACGCCCTGGCGAGGGAGTCAGATCTCAGCTCCGAGGGGACCCTGTGAGGGAGACGGAGCCAGGAAAGAGGTTTGGACCTCGCGTCCTCACACGGCCTGTTGCTGCAGCAGGTTTGTGGAGCCCCTTTAAAGGCAGCTGCCCGGGGGGAGCCTGGTGGCCTTTCCCAGACCTTCCTACCCGCTGCTGCAGCTGGCAGCCACCTCCGCAGTCCCGTTCCTGAACGCCCGTGGGTTTTGGGTGCGGCACGAAACACCAGCCCGGGCCTGGTTTCGGGGTCAGTCTGCGGCACTGGACATCTGCAAGCATCCTGCTAGGAGCCAAAGGTGCAGCTGTGGAGCTCAAAGTTAGAGCGGCCTCGGGGCATCTCCTCGCACCCCCTGCCCCCTCTCAAGGAGGGTTGCCTCAAGCATCTTCCTGGGAAGCTGCTGACTCCGCTACCCCCGGGCTGGGCTGGTGGGGGA